GTCTTCTTTAAAAGGAGAATTCAAATATGTAATAATATACCTAGTATTCCATTTAAAAAAACATAAGTTTATGTCGTCGCGCCTAAATGGATCACCCTGTATATTTCAAAATATTTTTAAGCTATGCACGTTTGCGCCCTCTATCACCCCGTTTTTGAAATTTTTCGATATCTCTTATAAGAGAGCCAGGACATTTGGCCGACGCGAGGCTGGGACACCCGGTATATTCTAGGTGGCCGTGATAACAAAACAACAATTAATATTTTGACAGTTTTGCTCATTTAATAATTCAACAGTTTGCCAACAACTGTTACTTTTGAAAGTTGCTTTGTTGGCCAAGAATAACCAATATGAGTAATCATTATACTTTAGGAGAAAAATACGATGTGGTAAACTTATATTTTAAAAATAATACAAACGCTTGTGCTGCCCAGCGAGAATATGGACAAATATATCCTAATAGGAAATTGCCTAACAGGAATACTATTAAGTTGGCAGATAACATATTAAAAATACAGGAGCAATTCAAAATAAAAAGAAACGAGGAATAGTCAACGAAGATAGAATTCAGTATTTTACTCTATTTTCAAGAGAATCCAAGAAATTCAATAAGAGACGCAATGAGGTATTTGAATTTTTCTTATGGAACCATACAGAGAACTTTAAAAAACATAAACTTAAGGATTATAGTATATTGCCTGTTCAAAAAATTATTCCCTCAAGATAATGAAAAGCGACAACAATTTTGTAGAAATATAATCAACAGGTATGACATTGATAATAATATATTTAATAAAATATGTTGGATCGATGAGGCATCATTCAACACATCTGGTATCTTCAACAGAAGAAATTCACATTTTTGGTCTTCCGAAAATCCTCATATTTCTGAAGAGATTCAATTCAAAGGAAGGAAATCCATAAATGTTTGGTGTGGAATAATAAATAAAAAAATTATAGGGCCCATTTTTCACGAAGGCTCCCTTAGAGGACCATTGTATTTAGATATGTTAAGAAATGATGTAAATAATTCATTAGAAGAAATGCAATTGCAATTCGATGTTATTTGGCAGCACCCACATAATATTAATGATGTTACAAATTACTTAAACACAACATATCAAGAATGGATAGGAAAACGAGGAACTATTGCTTGGCCACCTCGTAGTCCGGACCTAATTCCATTAGACACGTTTCTTTGGGGCGATTTAAAAAATATTGTTTATAAAGAAAGAAGCAACAACTTGGAAGAAATAAAGGAAAAAATTAGAACAGAAATACGAAATTTGAGTAATAACAACGCTGTTATGGCAAATGTAATGGGAAACTTAAGAAAACGATACGTTCTGTGTATAGAACAATGGAAGGCACATAGAGATTTTTTTGTGATATTTTATTATTAATTAACTAGCAATAATTTATTGTTAATTTACTACATTTCTGTAGCTGTTAAAGAATTTAAATATTTTCATTTACCACTATTATTTTAATGGATAATATTATTTTTAATAACTTCAATAGTGTTCTTTAGTTATTTTCTATATTTGTAGTTTTTTTAGCTGGCTGGGCAGCATAAGCGTTTTTTATTTATTTTTTATTTTTTTTTCAATATAATAATTTAACTAATAATTGAGCATAGTTTCATGAGGATAATAAAAAAGAAATTAAATATAGGTAAATTAGGCAAAAAAGTTAATAGTTATAATAGTCAAACTCACACTTTTGTTTTACTATCACAGCCACCTAGATAGTATTTCTTGATATCTGTTAAGTAACGTATTTTATATTGAAAAAAATCGATTATCGGAATATTTACTGAAGATACTATATAAAAAGTATATATATTTGAAATCAGAATAAGACGTCCTATTCAAATATTTGGGTACTTCCATTTAAAAAAAAAGTATCTTAGGCCTCCATCTTTTGTATTTGATGTTCAGTTGTTTTTCTGTTAATGTGTCTGGATTCCTTTTTAAAAACCCTACAAAAAGCATTTTTAATTTTTTTCGTATCTTTCCAAATAACCGAGAAAATGGGGGTGGGAGGCTTATTTGGATCACCCGGTACGTAAGGGATAGGCACTTAGGAGGGTTGACGAATTTAGGGGTGAGTGGATCTATTGAGGTAGGATTTTGGGATTGGATTAGAGTGCTTGCGAAATTCGGGAGCAGGTCGGTTAAGAGATATTTTTGATGGGTTCTAGTCCATTTGGGGATGTTTGTCGCTGTGCGTAGGATTTTGTGTTTTGATGTTTGTAGTTTCTCCGGAAGGTAGTGGTTTTTATAGAGGTGAAGATATTTTAAAAATTGTCTTATTTGAAACAAAGTATGTTAATGTAAATTTACTTTAAATTTTTTTCGAAATGTGGTTTTCTTTACAATTCATTATTTTGTTTTTATCTTTCGATTGAGCAGTTTTTGTTATACGTAAAGGATATGATTGTAAACAATACCTACATGACATACGTGCTTCATCGAGCATATTTTCTATGACGAACAATAAATTAATGGCATTCATTGGTGTATTTTATTGTAGCTTTCAGCAGTACTATTGAGTTAAGACATATATTTATTCAATATCTGAGTATTATTAATTTCTATAATATTCTAGGCCATCCACTTTACAACACTGTAATGTAATGATTAATTTTGCACCTAACGGATGATTCATGCTTTTCAAATATTCATTTTAGTCACGATTGCTAAAATAAATCATAATTGTTTCTATTCGATAAACTTTAGTTAATAAATGTTACTTATTCAAATATCATTTCCACACTTCTATTAGTTTAATGCACTTTCCAAGGAAGACAGTAATAGAATAGTTTTATCCTACATAAATGTTTATTGTGCATTTTACGTGACTTCTGAGAGATTTAATTTTCTTGTCTGAGTATGCAATTACAGAAAAGCATGAACAATATGCTGATTATCTTGGTAGGATCGTGACTTTAAAAGTGCCAGAAGAAAGTAGCGAAAATAGTAGTTGTTTTTTTTTTATATAAAATTCTTTGTTTAAACAAGGAGATAATAATAATGATAGATACACTTAATATTTGTATAGATTTGTTAATAATAGAACAATATGGCGCTTGGCAATATCCATCAAGAAAATTTATTCCATTGTACAGGGTTATTCATTATAAATTACCCACCTCTTATCATCGTTATTATTGCCTATAGAAAAAAGTTTTAAATAAAAGTTATGTGGTTATGTTTATTTTGTTAAAATGCTATCAAAAATTTGCCGGGGGGGGGGGGGGGGGGGGGGGGGAGAGGGGGGGGGGGGGGGGGGGGGGGGGGGGGGGGGGGGGGGGGGGGGGGGGGGGGGGGGGGGGGGGGGGGGGGGGGGGGGGGGGGGGGGGGGGGGGGGGGGGGGGGGGGGGGGGGGGGGGGGGGGGGGGGGGGGGGGGGGGGGGGGGGGGGGGGGGGGGGGGGGGGGGGGGGGGGGGGGGGGGGGGGGGGGGGGGGGGGGGGGGGGGGGGGGGGGGGGGGGGGGGGGGGGGGGGGGGGGGGGGGGTTTGGGGGGGGGGGGTGGGGGGGGGGGGGGGGGGGGGGGGAGGGGGGGGGGGGGGGGGGGGGGGGGGGGGGGGGGGGGGGGGGGGGGGGGGGGGGGGGGGTTTGTTGTGGGGGGGGGGGGGGGGGGGGTTGTGGTTGTGGGGTGGTGTTGTGTTGTGTTTTTTTTTTTTGGGGGGGGGGAGGGGAGGGGGGGGGGGGGGGGGGGGGGGGGGGGGGGGAAGGGGGGGGGGGGGGTGGGGTTGGGGAAAATAATGGGTTTATAGGGGATGAAAGGGGTGGTTGATTAGTTGATTGTTGGGTTAATGGGTTTTTTTAGAACAGTGGCGTGCAGATTTCAGATACAAAAAAATATATTTTTTTAAATGAATACCCTGTATATTATTAAATTTTTGGAATGATCCTTTGTTCCTGATTTCAAAAATATACCATATGTTACCCCTACCATATACCGTTTTTAAGTTATTAAACGTCGAATAACTTAGTTAAACCAGTTACTGTAAATATGGAAAAGTAAACATTATTAAAGTGAGCTATGAAAATGACAACTATTATGTTTGATAAGTGACATTTCTTTAATGAAATAATGAAAATAGGAACAGAACGATGTGGAGGAGAGTGAAACAGAAAATTCGGAGCCCGATGAAGCAACTTAATTCTTATAGTAATAATGTTTTTTTTTATTAAAATAAGTTTGAAATAATTTATGAGTAACTTAATGTCAGTATGAAACCCGTAACTCAAAAACTTAATCCAAAATACATAAAAGAATCCTGAAAAACAGTATAAGTTGCAATTTTGCTCAGTTTGGAATGAGAACCAGGTATATCCATTTTTTTCAAAAACAAAAATGTGCAAAACTGGAAGAACATATCACTTTTTATTTGACAATAACTATTGCAGTAGTAATAGATTTAAAGCAAAAAGTAGACAAAAAATCCCAAATTTCAAAACGTCTGGTTAATAATCAATTTCTTGGCTCTCTGTAAAATTTTAATTTTGGTTTTTACCTAGTTATCATTCTGGGATCTTCAATTGGATGCAAAAGAAGCCATTGCGATTGCAAATGCTCACGAAGCTATTGTCGATCCCATTGTCCAAAAAGATTTAAAATTTATACACTCAAGCTTTTCACGAATCCCTCTCGCTGTAGAACAACTTGAATGTCGACTGAAAATAGGAGAATTTACCATAATCGACGCGATGATTGTAGGTTTGATCTTCTACAAAATATGTATCAATTACCGAGTTCATCGAATAGTAAACCGACTACAGGGCAAAGAAGTGAATTGTTTAGGGTATCAAATAAATATGACGTCTTTACGAATGTTCCCCTATTTTAAATATGCGCCAATAACATCTGTCAAAATAAAACGTTCGGTTTTCAACATATAAATGGATTTTTACAAAGAGGTGACGGATTTGATTAGCAGAACATTAAATTTAAAAAAATTAAACACCTCAAATAATACAACCCCTGTATCCCAGCTTCTTGACCGGGAATCTAATCCGGAACTCCAGAGTGAGAGGCAAATGTCTTTACCACTCGACCGCGAAGCCACACATATGGAGCACTTTGTTTGTGAGGAATAATAAATAAGTGTGCAGTGTAGCGAAAAAAAAATTATTGGTGTAAACTGCTAGTGCCAACTAATTCTACAAGTCATTTTTAGAACCTATACACTACAAGGTAAGCCATTGAAAAATATTAGTTTGCAGTAATAGTTTAAAAAATTTAATTGGTATGTAAATTAATAACAAATATTCTCTTGCGCCCTCCCTGTTCTCTGAACTCTATGTATTAGGGATAAACCTGAAGCCATGCAACATAAGCGAAACTGTTTGTGGACTTGAATGTTTTTACCTCTAATTGTAAGTACCAAATATCATTGATATCGAAGAAAAGCTGACGAAGATATGCAGGTGTTTCCATACATTTTATTAATTTTAGTTAAAAAGTTGTTTTTGCTTCCATTACATTGAAATATGATCGAAAATATTAATACGAAGTCTATTATATCCAAAATTATAATATCCAATTAAAGAAAAACTGACAAATTGAAGACGTACAAAGTAGACGTACCATAGGTAATAATTAATAATTAATTTTTTGCTTAAGCAGGGAATTTCATTTCATCAAAAATCGTTAAAGCTATTTGGAGATTAAACATCTTTATAGGTAGTAATTGTCTCCACTAAATCCACATGATTTGTTAATTTATAATTAGTCCGATTAAGGCTATTTATAGTAGTTTTCATTGTCGTGTGCCATATCCGATAGTCTGCCTGGCGTGTATTTTATTTTTCTTTGCATTGTTGCTAATTTCATCTTCGTTTGAACTTTGGCAAATCTATGCGGAAGAAGAGGAATAAGAAAATATAATCTTAGAAGTTAACTTAATTATTATGCTTTCAAGTTATTTTCTTGTATCATTATTTTAGTCAATTATAATCGTGTGTTTTATCGAACTGTCATGTATAATATGCTACTTTTCGAAACGGTTACTTATAAAAGATCACTTTTGTGTTTTGTTTGTGTTTTATTGCAATTAACGGCACATTTCCTGATTATATCATATTTCGTAATGCACAGGATGTTGCGACTAAAATAAGATGTCTTGTTAGTAATCAAAATGTTTACTACGATCTCTACTAAGAGGCAATTTCATAATAACGATAAAACGTATTTGTTGTGATTATTTCACATCAAATTGAACGGATTTTACTTCATAATCATAAGCATTCACTATAATTAATAATAGTGGTTTAGTTTTTATTTTTAAAATTAAAGAAATAATGAACAATACATTTCTGTCACAAAGAACATTATTACAATAGTTAAATAAAACAACTAAAATGAATAATTGCTTATTGTCTTTACACATTCATTGTTGTATTTATGTTTTATTATTAGTCAGGTTTTTGAGAGGATATCTTTACAATTAAAAAAAAAAACAATAAATGCGGAGAGACCTAGGTCCTACATAAGTCGTGACAATGCTGAAATACATTAATTTTACGTATATAATTGTTTTATATAGTTGTCATCTACTATAATGATGACTAGAAACGGCTGCGCCGTTTTCAAACTCCTGCGGAGGGCCGATCACCTGCAGCGTTCGATGAGAGGGCCTTCAGCCTCGTGTTAAACATCACGCGAGAAAGCCGACAAGTCGAGGTGCTGAAAGTGCTTGAAAGTCCGAATTAGAGCTACCAAACAGGAAAAATCTGTTTCGACAATATGTCGCTAAAATCCTTCTATAAGAACATAGATAAGGCAATCGCCTTTTTAAGGTCAGTAGGGTAAATCGAAGATCGAGTCATATCTTGGTCTACCATAACTGGTCTACTATATCTCTAAAGAGAATAGTCTAAGATAATAATATTTGAGACCTAGAGAATCAGTGAAAGTCGTTGCTACGACATATCAAATGTTGTGGAAAAGATTGTTCCAAGATTGTCATGCAAATTCTCATAGTGTGGCTAGTAGCGTCATCCTGTTGAAACCAAAACAGTTTCTCATCCTACTCATCCACCAATTGAGAAAGAAAAAAAGGATATTTGCATACTCAAGAGTTAACTGTTGTCTTTGCACCGTTCTGTTCAAAAAAATATTAATCATTAATTTTTTTAAGACTATACTGCACACCATGCTTTTGGGGAATGCAATGGCTTTTCATGAATTGTACACGTATTTTCAGTGGCCCAGTAGCAACAGTTTTGTTTGTTAACAATACCATTTTTGGAGAAATGTGGTTCATGCTTCATCCGTAATACATAAAGAATGTTCAGTATCTAGAATGTTATTCCATAGTTCTAAGCATCTTTGACAAAAGTGGATGCGATCTTGCTTATCCCGCTCTGTTAATTTTTGCACAATAGCGATATTGTGGTATGTGCAATGGCTTTTCATGAATTGTACACGTATTTTCAGTAGCCCAGTAGCAACAGTTTTGTTTGTTAACAATACCATTTTTGGAGAAATGTGTTTCATGCTTCATCCGTAATACATAAAGAATGTTCAGTATCTGGATTGTTATTCCATAGTTCTAAGCATCTTTGACAAAAGTGGATGCGATCTTGCTTATCCCGCTCTGTTAATTTTTGCACAATAGCGATATTGTGGTATGTGCAATAGCTTTTCATGAATTGTACACGTATTTTCAGTGGCCCAGTAGCAACAGTTTTTTTGTTAACAATACCATTTTTGGAGAAATCTGTTTCATGCTTCATCCGTAATACATAAAGAATGTTCAGTATCTGGAATGTTATTCCATAGTTCTAAGCATCTTTGACAAAAATGGATGCGATCTTGCTTATCCCGCTCTGTTAATTTTTGCACAATAGCGATATTGTATGGTTGACATTTCATCTTACGCAGTTTTCGTCGGGTACTTCGCTCGGACAAATTTAATGCTGCTGCATGTTGCCGAAGTGGTCGAGTCGGGCTTTAAATGATTGCGTGCGTTAACAGTTCTTCATCTTGCAGATTACATGCAGACCAAAGTTTGAACATCATTTTAAAACAGTGCCATATTCTTTCCTCGTTTAAATTCTTCCGGAAATGACATTTCGCGCCTCGTTTCGCACAGGTGCTTCTCGCATATGGAAATTTCGCCAGAAATCACGTTTTACTCGAATAACTGAATTAAATTTAATAACATTTTCGACACAATAAACACGTTGATTTAGAAACCAGCGTTCCGTTTTGACAACTGTCAACTATTGTCAAATATCTCCAAAGCTTGCTTTGTTAAATCATTACTAAATCAATTGAAATTTCTTGCCCATATCTTTTTTTAAGATTAAATAAAATAGTCCATGTATTTTGACGCTCCTTGTATTTAATTGAATGCCTCTCATGTAGAATTTTATGTTCAGAGGCAATCAATTCTTGTCACGTTAATAATTTATACCTTGGGTAAAATAACTTACCAACTTTGTGCTTAAAGGGTTTAAGTTAGTTGCAAATGTAATTATTCATTGTCATCAAATGAAGATGATAATCAGAATCAACGTTTTATACATATTTACAAATAGTAGGAATAGAAACGGTTCAAGCATGCTACCCTGTGGTACCTCAGTCTCGACTGGCAACAAATGATAGTGAAATTGCTTTGCTCTGCCCCATAGTTTAAAATAACTGTTCTCTATTCGGTAAGTGGAAACAAAATTGCATTGTAAGTTTGGTTTTTCTCGGAATTGTTTAGTATGTGAAACAAAGACAGCACTTGAATGAATAAAGACATAGAATGTTCTTAACAGGTATTTTTAGGATCATATAATTTATGTACATTAACATATTTTGAATAAATTAAAAAAACACACAATTTTGCTGGATACTTTGTGACAAGTATACTTTATGAAGTAATCACATCACGATATTTTTAATTGTTATATATAGTTCATTAGTTATTAATTTTTTACGTCAACAAAAAACTAATAAACGATAAAAAAGGTGATAAATTTTTTTTATCAATATTTGTTATCACTGTTTTTGTATATCAAAACACTATTAGATGTTATAATTTTTAAATTTTTAGTGGTATTTGTTTAAAAATATGTTATAAACAAACGGATTAGTTGCGTATTTTAGACAAATTTTTTTGCCAAATTATTAGTGAATTATATTATCATTAAAAAAAATTTTTTTTTGTTAAAATTTTTTTTTTATTGTTAATAATCATGTTTTAACTTTTTTCATTATTTAAAAAATAGATTAACAAAAGATTTTTTTTCTAAATTTATCATTTGCAATTTTCTACAAAGTAAAAAAATTTTTTTTTCGCTTAAAATTTATTTGTTTATTTAATAAACAATTTGTAATAAACAATGGTCGAATGTATTAATATTTTTTATAAAAAAAAAATACTAAAACAACCATATATTTAACCAATACAACAATTTTTTTATAGAATTTTCAATTTTGCCTCCTTCTTTTGTTATGTTAGTAACCTCTATATCTTTTAAACTATTAGAGATACGACAATGGATATTCAAGTCGTTTTTATAAAGGATTAATTAATCTTTAAAATGAGTTAACCACCTAGTTTGTAACTATTGTTAATCAGCTATTATACGCATTTGTTTATAAAAAATTAAGGTTTCTTTAACATTTTCGAATCTTTTATGACTTACAGCTTATTAAATATTGCAGATACAGTAATATACTTTCAAGACAATTTTGTTCAGTGATTAAATATCTACCGAATAAGCTTTTGATCATATCCATATCTCTTATAGTTTAAACTATAAACGTATTTTTATTAATATTCTTCAAATTCGTATTCCGTTATACAGGAACTATATTTTTATTTATTCTATTAATAATTAATTTAAACTACATGCTTTGTTTATTTAAAAATTATTCAAAATAATATAAGGATAAAATGTTATCCATTAATAGAAATTTTATTTCAGAATAATTATATTTTAATAAATTATAAGAATAATAATGGTGTAATCAAGTTTTATTATCAATAATGTTATATTATTAGTCATTATTTATACGAAACGTTTTTCTTCTTTTTTTTAAAGGAGGAATTCCAGAACTGGTCGGT